AGGTTTTCCTCTGAAAGCTTTAGCAGACAGCAGTTCTCACCATTACTGCTCTGCAAAAACAACACACAGCCATCATCTGTTCCACTCACTTGATGTTTTCAAGCTCTTCATTGCAACCACAAAGGCTGAAATCAAATCTCATGATCTCAGCCATTGATCTGAGATAAGGGATGTATTCCAGAACAAGCTCTGCTCACTGTTGCTGCAGTTAAGTTTTCCCATTTAAAAACAAATCCAACACAATTTACTTTTGGTTAAAAAAAAAAGTACATTTTTTTCCCTTTGAAGAAAGGATACAGTTCTTAAAAAGTGGCAAGCAGAAGAAAATAAATAGCATCTAACTTGTGTGTTGGAAATAAATAGCAGCTAGCTTCTGTGCCAGCCAAAACACAGCCTGTCTCTCTCTATATAAAGTACTGCTCAGAAACTGTCTTCAGTCAGTGCAAAGCTCTGGGAAACTCCCAGTGATTATGACAAGCAACATGGGGAAAAAAAAGAAAGAAAGAAAAGAAAAACAACTTTCTTGAATCCTCCTGCAATCAATGAACATACTTTTCACAGGCGGAAAGCAGAACCGAGAGCACATGCTGAAAGAATAACAAGGAATTCCACATTCTGCTTTTCTCAGGAAACCAAACAATCTCATACCTCCAAAAAGAAATCACCCACCCATCTAACTTAAATAATATTTTAAGCACTTAATTATGTTTTCTTACTCTGTTGTAAAGCTGAGTGTACATAGTCATAACAAATATGAAAGAAGCGTGAATGCATCCTAGTGGAGCTAAGAGGAGAAACAGAGTGAAAGATGCATGATTCTGGTATCCACAGCAGTTGTTGATCCAAGGACAATGGTGATCCATTTTCATGACACATCTGTAAATAATAAGGATTCATTAATATAAAGGACATTTATTATAATTTTCCAAAAAGCACAAAGAAAAAGACAAGTAACTTTCTACTACTCAACCTCCATTCATTCATTTAAACTCACTGATTTCCAACAGATCAACACAACAGCGTCTTTTTTTTGTTGCTATTTAGAATGATGTTTCATGTTGTAGAGTGAAAGAAAGCAAAACAAAAAGTGCTCCCAGGTCCTACCCTCTCTATTTATCACTCCTCTTTACTCAAACTTGCTAGTTGCTAATAAACACCGTATTCCAGAGTCAAGAGACAGGGGCCTAGAATGGGAAGTGCAAGAACTAGCAACACAATAAGCACTATTATTGCCAATTCTTTTAAATAAGCACACCAGGAAAATAAAGGTAATATCAAGTCCCCTGAGAGCTACTTGCAGAAAGAGCATATAAAGTTACACAGACTGAAGTGTGTTAATGCCTCTTTCTTTTCAGTAGCAGACCTTCTGAAAGCTTCATCAATTGCTACGTATTGACCTTACACCACTGTAAGTCTGTTCCAAAATCTATTTAACAAGCATAAACACCCCTAGAGACACTCCTGCATTCAATACAAAGCTGGTTATTTTGGTTCAGCTTACAGGTGCAAAAAAACCACCAGACAAAAGATTTGTCCACGTCCCAAATTGCATTGATTTAACTTAACAGGTGTAAAAGTCACGAATTATAATGTTGCAGTTGATCTGGATCAAACTGAAGTGATAAACAGAGAACTGAATTACACAAACACCCAGGTCCTCTGAAAATAAAAAGTAACTGTTTTGGAACTGCTGACCTCATTGTCTTTCAAACTAGTCTATTCCCAGTAGTAAGTTCAGTTTCTTCCTTTTAAAGAATTAGTTGTTCTTCATTAGCATATGCTCAACTGCCACTGTATAAGTTCTTGAACATGTAATACTAATTATCAGCACAAGTGCTTCTCAAGAAGGTCCTAGATCTTAGCTAGAGACCTCACCCCATTCAGGTGGGCCACAACAAGTGACTCCATTCACGTACTGAATCTTGCCATAGCAGAGAAGACTTTTGGCAGCGGTTTAAGTTACCTTCTTCACTGCAACAGGCTGGAAATATGTGCAGAATGAATTACTTTGGCCAGAAAATTCCTCATGCATATCAGCAAAATGATTTGGAGGATGTGCTGCAGTTTCTGCTGTTTTATTTATTTGGCAAAACATAAATTATTTAAAGAACTTGCTTTTGCAAAGACACTCATCAGGATCTGCTGCCATTTTCTGTTAAGTCCTCAGTGTAAAGTTTGTCACTCAAGGAAAGGGATCTAATTTTAAATCTCAGGATGATGCAGCCAAATTACAGCACTGCTCTACAGTTTCAGTCTTTACTTCCTCAACGTGCACTGACTGAGGATCTCGTGTTTATAGAAATAACAAATGAATGTGCATGCTGCAATATCCTTTTACCATGTTCTCTAATAGTCCTTCAGAGGAGGACCTGCCCAGTAAACCCAAGATAAATCAGTAAACCCAAAATGAATGCAACTACAGCCAGACAGCTGAAGTGGCTTGTTTTTTTCAAGCTGCACTAAATTCTAGTGCAGCTATTTATAATAAAACCATCATTTAGCTCAATTGTTGGAATAGTTGGAAAACTAACACGCAACAAGGTACAAACTTTTAAAGTTGACCCAAAAGGCTTATTAGTTCACCAAACATGCAGACTCCCCTTGAAAAGAAAACCTTTAGTAAAGAGTAAAGAACAGACCAAAATTTCCACTCAGATCAACATTTAACCCTTATTTGGAAAGATGACAGAACAGGCTTTTCTAATCCCTTCTAAGATTCAGAACTTACAAAGGACTGAAAGATTTTTAGGTATTTACTGTCCAAAAGTTCCTAAGAGGAACTGATTTCAAGCCAAAGACAAAACGTTAAAGACAGATTTATTTATTAAACCAAAACGCAGTAAAACCATATAGAAATCATACAACTAGAAAGTGGAAAAAATTGTAATGGGTATAGTGTTCATATGGAAATCTTTTAAAAATACACAATAAAAGACTTGGAAGAATAAATTATATTAATAGCTCATCATTAGGTTAGAAGCTGCTTTAATATGAACTTAAGACAATTTTAAAGAAAGACGGTACCTGTTACACTTTCGACAGTGGTGTGAACGTGGTGCCTTATAAGACTGACACACTTTACAGTATTGGAGATACAAGCAATCCTGAGATTTTTCCTTTAAACAGAAGAACAGGCACATTAGAGATATAAATAATTCTACCAGCAATACATATCTTGGCACTTTCCTAACCTAAGCATCTTTGCTTTCTTCTGACAGGGTGTGTCTCATAACCCAACCCTACTTAATGGTAGGTGGCGAGGAGAGAAAAAACCCAAATGAAATAATCTCTTGGCTATCGACACAGCCATCTCCCACTGTTGAAAGCGCTGGTTGCTAAAAGAAATAAACAGTTCTTCCATCAGAAAGAATGGCTGTACAAGCAGGGTTTCATAGTGAAGTTCTGAGAGTAAAAAACAGCATGAGGCCTTTTTAATTTTTTAAAAAAAAGAAGCTTGTGCACCTTCTCACTCCATTTTATACCCTAAATTACTAAGATATAGTACTAGTAAGCATTAACGTTCAACTAGGTCTTGTTTGCCTCCCTCTCTTACACACACACACGCCAATGACAGCAAGATGACAAAGAGACTTGTAGATAGCAAACAGTAATGCTGGCCAAAACCTTCTGTTCACAAAGTAAAATACCCAGTTGTCCTGCCAGGGCTGCATTAGGATTCTCTTCTCACTAGACTTTGTTCTGAGAAATATTCCACAAGTAGAAATGTGATTATTGTTAATCTTTCTATCACGCCCCTGGAACACAAACTCTGGCCTGCTGTCTTGAGATACCGAACCTGTATCATACTGGTCTCTGACTACTATTCTTTCCCAGAGACTACAGAAGCAAAGAAAATGCAAATTTCTACCTTGACTTACACTGCGTTGAACATAAGATAAACACATCATTTTTCAGGCTCACGTAAAAAAAATTAAACATGCTAAATTTAAGTTCTTCTAATCCCTGTTACTAACAGCAAAGCCTTCAACACAACGGCGTGTGTGTGGGGGTGCAGATAACCTTGAAGTTCTCGCTCCTGGCTAACAGCAGCACTGGTTTTCTGTTGTTTTGCTTTGAAAAGGCGCTATAAAACACCGCGATCGCTGCCAACAAAGCAGCGTTACCGGTTAGCCCCAGCCCGCCTTAACCGACAGAACAAGGAAGGGATGGAGCAAGCCGGAGCACACTGGAAGCAGCGGCAAAGCGGGATAGAGGCAGAAAGAGAGATGTGGAAAGAAGATAAGGAGGAAGGCGCGGCCCGAGGGGCTGGCTGCGTTCTTCAGGGAGAAAGGGGAAATGGAGGAATCAAAAGACAGGCGCCTTCTGCCCTCTCTGATCCCCAAACACGCTCCTCTGGGAGAGGCCGGCCCCGAGGGGCAGGCCCACCGGACCCCCCCACCTTCCCGCCCACGGGGAAGAAGGCGCTGACGGATCGAGAGCCAGTGCTTACCGGCGTCCACCCCAGCGGGACGTACCCCGGGCCGACAAACATGGCGTTGAAGTAGTTGTAGAGGATCATCACGGTCCAGTTGAGGAGTATGATGAAGTTGACGCTTCCCCCGGCCGTGTCCAGGGGCCAGTACCACAGCGCGGCGTCCGCCATGGCGGTGGCGGAGCACACGACCACCACGGCCAGGGCCACCAGCGGCCCCCAGTGACACAGCCGCCGCGCCTGGCTCAGCCACCCCATGGCCACCGCTACCGCCGCCCGCCCGCTGCCGCCCCGCCGCTACCACACATGGCTCCCGCCGTCCACGCCGGCTGCCGACACACCGGGAGAGCCCTGAGGAAGGGGAAGGAAGGAAGGGGCGGTGTCGGGGCAGGCCGGGCCTCAGCCCCGCCCCGCCGGCCCGGGGAGGCGAGGGGAGCGGAGCCGGCGCCGGCCTCCGCCAGACGGCACCTCCGGATCCGCCGCCGCCCCCCGGCGGTCCGTTGGCAATAGGGTCCCGCCGGCAAACAACGTCTCCCTATTCCCCCTATTTTGAAAGAGCAGGGTTACAAGGCACGGAGGGAGGGAGGCGGCCCGTTCACACCCAGCACCCCGCCACCCCCAAGCGAGAGTCGCTGCAAGGCGGGGGCGGGGTGCTGGGTGGCGCTGATTAAAAACACCTGAGCGGGGGTGGAAAGTTTTTCCGGAACCTGTGGTGAGGGGTTGTGGGGCGCGTGGGGGAACGCCTTTGTAGGGGAGCAGAACGCGGAAGCGCCCTGGGTGCGGAGCGGCTTGAGGGCGGCCGGCGGAGCGGGGCGTTCTCGGCGAGTGAGCGCAGCGGGGCCGCCGCTTCCACACCACCCTCCCCGCCGCCTCCTTCTTCTCCTTCAGAGCCGCCGCCGCCGCCATGTCGTCCGATTTCGAGAGCTACGAGCAGGACTTCGCCGTGCTGACGGCCGAGATCACGGGCAGGATCGGGAAGGTGCCGAAGCTGGTAGGAGGTGAGCGGCGGGAGGGGGGGGGGGTGCTGGCCTGTCTCCGTGGAGAGGCCGTCGGCGCCGCTCTCCGCCTCCGCGGCTGTCGCTCCGCACCGCAGGCCCGTCCTTCTCGGCTGTAAGAGCCTCTCCGCCTCCTGGAGCCTCCGGTTTCCCAGCACCGAGCGCTTGGGGTGGTGGTGGGGGGTGTTTTAGGGTGTTTTCAGCGTGGTCTCTCTCTGTGTCCCCTCACCCCAGTGTGTCGTGTTGCCCCTCAGGCAGCAGGGTCAGGATTTGCCTCCCTCTGTTCAAGCAGCGAGCTGCCTGGTGGAGTGTATTAAGAGTTATCAGACAGAACACCGCTCGCTGGTGGGCTCTGAGGGTCCCTCCTGACGGGCTGTGGGCCCCCACAAAGTCCTGCAGGTGCAGCTGGAGGGCTGGGCAGCCCAGGGGTCAGGGCCAGGGGGGAGATACCTGTACTAGTGTCACTACTGGGTGCTGTTTGTTGTGGGGGTGCCACAACATCGGTCCTGGAAGTCAGGTCTCTTTCATCTGGCATGAACAGAATTTGTGCATGACTTAATACCAATCTGTATTTTTGCTGGCTGCTGTTAAAACATTTGATTGGGGTAATTGGCCGTGGTGACTCACATAGAGGAGCAGGTTCATAGAAATAAGTGTTCGTTTACTTTAACGTGTTTGTCAAGAGCCTGCAGCATTCCTGGTCGAATTCACGATGTATCCCTGCAGTACAGACAATAATGTCAATAAGAGTTTTAGGGTAGAAAGCTGAAAATTATAATCTCTTTAACCAATCTAGCTCAATCTTCTACCACATGTAAATCAGTGCCCTAATACAGGGTTCCTAGTATGAGGCAGAAGGAAACTGACACTAGTCAATTTCTCATCTGTCCCTCTTGTAGCTTGCTTAATGCTTCGTCTATTTCCAAGTCATTAAATATTTCTGCCTTTGCTTCCTATGTGTGTTTCCCAAAGCTCTAGGATGCTTAAGCTGAGGGAGTGGGTATCCTATAAGGGGGAAATAAACACACTCTAATGGTATACTTTTCCATGTGACTAAAGGAAAAAGTATCATGCATCCAGGACCAAAGAATAACAGCCTACTTTTAGAGTGGGAAATCCATCATGAAGTGATGAAGTAGTGACTCTAAACAGGATTCGAGGTAGGTGGTCAACTAAAACACGTGATCTTCAGAGGTCCAAAATACATGTGAAAATGTGAAATGCATAAACAAGGGGGGATTTTGAATTAAAAAAAAATCTGTTTGGTTCTGGAAAGTTATGTCCAGTTCCAATGTTAGCAAGGTAGAAAGTCTTCTGATAAATTGGAGTACTGTGACCAATCACAAGCATGATTAAAGGACAGGAAACTGTGCCTTTTCATTGGCTTAATGAAACTATTTTGCTCTTGGGCTTAACAAAAAGGATAATTCAGTCACAGTCTGCAGGTGCTTATGAGTAAGAAAGCTTTTTCCATTTTGTTAACAGAGACTTACAAAACAAAGAAGGGAGAGATCCAAAGAGTTCTGGTGATTGAAACTCAGAACTAGTGTAATTTAGTTTGCTCAGAAATTATATTTAAACTGTAAATGGTCTCTGGAACAACTTGCTGAGGGGATGCAGTGAATTCTTCCCTCATGTAAAGTACCTAATCAAGGCAATATTTCCCACTTGTTTCACTCTTAAGCAGAATAAATTTAAGGACCTTTTATAGGAACAGGAAGACATCATAAATACATGGAGACTTTTGTTCTGAAAATCAGTAGTGCTGCACAGTGAGCTTGTGGAAAAAGAAGAGAGATTTAATTTCCTAATAGTACAGATTTTGGAAATCACACGTGTCTGTTCAGTAGTAGGAAGAATGTTCTGCTTAGTAGGATTTCCATAATCCTCTCCTTGAATCGGTCTCCCTTATTCACTTAGGGAGACTTTGAAGCTTAAATATGAGATGTTTAAAGGGTATTGTCTTAAACAGTGACATAGCCTAGAAGCAGTAGGCTTTGAAATCATGATTCTTTTATGTGGCCATTAGAAGGATTTGGGTTTTTGTGGTTTTTTTAGAATTAGCTCTCCTCTCAGAGGAGATAGAATACGTGTTTGCTGCGGGACCAATAGTATGGTACTGGGCTAAATAGCCACAAGATAAGGGAATGGTAAATTTTTTATTTTTTATTTTTTTAAGAAGTGGCTTTTCCATGTTAGGATTTGAGGCTAGTCATACATGGTTTGGACTGGCTTGTGTTATAGCTACTTCATGCAATGTACATTTATGGGTGAGTGGATTGTTTCAGTTTTCAGGGCTGTTCTGTCTTTCATCAGCAAAAAAATCATGTACAACTTAAAACCAAATTGCAGTCTTGGCTAATAGAGGCATTTGACCACCTGGAAAACAAAGAAATCTCTGACTATGCTGAGCACTTTAATCAGAAATATTTTAAATACACATTTTTTCCCTTGTTTCTTAATAGGAATATTTGCAAGATCTTTGCTTCTTCATCACCAGGAGTTCCAGTTAGTTCTTGTGGAGATGGCTGGGAGAGTCTCAGAAAGAGGATTGTGAGGTGGGAGGGGGACGTGAGGAGATGCACATGAGGTGACAGTTTTCAGCAGCAGTGATTTGAGAGAGATTGCTGATGGCCTTCTTCCTCCACGCTGGAAGAAGCAGGATGAAAAGTGTAAGGACTTGTGCTACTTCCACGTAATACAGAGAGAGATCTCCTGAAGTCTAGTGACTGGTGTATTTCCTTCTGCTGCCCAAGATGGACCTTCTGTAAGCTTCAAGTTCAGTTGAATTGGAGAAATAACAGTTAATTGTTTTTGCAACATTCCTGCATTTGGTGTTGTCAGGACTTGATGCTGTCTTGTGTTCTAGGAGAATGATGGCTCTACAAACAATCCTGTTGTCACAAATGCATAAATAGTTCAGCAAGAAATGTAACAAAGGCACTCTGATACTACAGAAACAATAAGCTGCAGGGACAATAGACTGTCTTGGAAAGAAATGTCTTCAGTTGAAGCAAACGTCATCTGGAGAATTAAAGAAAGTGTTCTATATTGGGAAATGGCATTTAAATAGAATTTCTGTGATGCTGCTGCAGGTCTTTGAAGATTAAAGATCACTGGCTGATGTGTTTTACAAATATTTCTCAGTGTTTCAGAGAAACATCTGTCTTGTGGTTTCACCAGTTTTTTATATACATTTTGATTGCTTGATGTGAAAGTGAGTTGTTTTGTCAGCACAAATGGTGGTACTTAGCCTTTTTCCAGCACAGTAGCCTCTGTGTTGTGGTTTTTAGACTTAGACTTGAGTGCTGTTATTCTTCTGGTACCCGATACCTACATTTTTTACTGGGCAATCAAAGCACTGTATTTTGGTCTCTAACAAATTTAGCTAAAGAAAGCCCCACCTTTAATTTTCTGTTGTACCCCTGTACTGCAGTTTACTGTCTGCATTTTGGGTCTGGCTCATTATGATGTGCCTTTTGAACCTGGTTTCGTAACCTAGAGAGAAACACATGTGTTGTTCCATTTGTCTCTGCTGTTGGGCAGTAATTTCTGGCAAAGTGGTGAACATGTGAAGTACCTCAGCCAATGTAGCAAAATCTGCAAGTGGTCTATGAGCTGAAGCACTTTGTTACTCAACCTTTCCCTCCGTGTGCACTAATAAAAAGAAGCAATTCCACACACACTGAGACTGCTCAGTCTTGGTCCAGATTCTTTTAATCCCTTCATTGGTTGTGAGATCAAATCAATGCTTTGTTGTCTTTCTATGCTTGTAGGCAGATTTCTGCCTTTCTGTATTTTGGGGGACAAAACAGTGACTAATGCAAGGGCAAAGCTGAAAGAACTGAGGGGAAAAAATGTAGTAAAACCTTATTTCTTTTAAGAAAGTGATACAGCCTTGTGTACAAACACAGAATGGATTTCTTTGTTTGCAATCCTTACCTGGAAGAAAAAAAAAAACACTTCTATTTCCAGTTTTTATCCATATTTTGTCAATTTGACCAGCTAAATTATACACGCTAAATGCAGTATTTTCTTTAGGATACTCTTTCTAGCAATGTGGAAACAAATTCTATTCTAAATTTAGATATGTTTGATGGAACGTTATTTTTTTTTATTTTCTTTAAAGGATACTATCAATTCTGAATTAAGAAAGAAAACGTTATAAAAACCCCTTTTCATTCTTTCATATAATGGAAGTGTATTTCAGGAAAGGATCAAGTAGGCAGATTGTGCCTAAGACATCGTGGAATAATACAGTTTGTAATATGAGGATCTTTAATTGGATAGTAACTTGTTTGTCCCAATCTACTAGATTAGTAACAAGCTTCTCCCCACTCTGAGTAACTCCCTCTGACCCATCTGCAGTCTCTGAGCAAGTGCATCTTGTGCCCTCCTTTCTGTGGGGATTCTGCACGTGAAATAAGTTGTTTCCTTAACCTAACCGTGGCAATAAAACTGAAAATGAGTGGTTTGAAAAACCATCCCCGCATGTGCTTTCTGATTGACGGTGTTGTAGCATTTCATGTTTCTGTTGCTGGTATCAGCCTAGAGGTATTGGCAGCCCTGCAGGCAAGTGGCTCAGTGGCTCCAGGCACCTTATTCCCACCGGGATTTTACATGGATGCAGCCTAGAGGAAGAGAGGAAAGTTACACCAAGTGCATGATACTTACACTCCGGTAAGCTTGCTTTTCCTTACCAAAGTGACCCTGTGGATCCTAGCCCCCCTTCTTGCTCTGGGACTACATGCAGTTACTAGAAGTTCAGCTGCTTTCCTGGAAATCAGTGAAGATATTTCTCCAAAGCTGCAGTGCCGGGGTGTTGCCATGAGCCTGCTCACACCTCTGTGTTTGAAGGAACAGCAAGGGCCTGTTGGCAGGGGGTCTCGCTCCCAGCAGTTGCTCTGGTCACCAGCTGGATGATTATGTATTGATAAATCTGGGATGATGTTAAAATGCAACTCTGGAATTTGGTTAAAGTTTAATTAATAGAACCCTTGAAGACAATTTGAATACCTGCTCAATTTTATGGGAGCGATTTTAGCCAGACTTCCTTGTGTACTAATGAGTTTTCCCTACCAAAGGTCCATACCTTAGTGTCTCTGTGGGTAGGTAAGATCTTGCTGTCAGTGGGGCACTAGGTAGCTCTTGTAATACAATTACACACAGAATTTGTACAGCATGAAATACCCTAAACCCCCAACTTTATATCCCTACATTTCAGGTTACTTAATGTGCATGGAAACTGTATTTCAGTAAAACTCAGGGAGATACTGAAATTGCTACAGTACATTTATTTCCTGCTGCTATATTTTTTAAATTTTATTTCAGCTTCAATAAAATGGTATTATGTGTTTTATATCTTGCATTGTTTTTTCCTTTCGTACATTGTCATCTTGCCTGATTCCAAATGAAGGCAAGAACAGAGATGTTTTGGGATGCTGGGCAGGAGAACTGGAATGTGTGCTGGGCAAACAAGTGGCAGATTCTCTTTTCTTTTGGGTTTAGTTATGTCAGGAAGATAAATCACTAACCATTACATTATCTGCCATCATAAGAACCTGGTGGGGAATTAAAGACAGACATTGCTAGCAGAGAACTAAAAGTGCTGCACAGAAATGAGCATTTCCTACATCTGCTGCTGTAGTAGAATCCACCAGCTTGTGTGGCAGTGGGAATTCCAGATTTGTAAGAAAGCTGCTGTTTTTCTATGGCCTTAGCTTTGTAGAGAGGATTACTTGATGAAATTCTGGACCAGTTTCAAGGATAAGAAGGGAAATTCTGGGAGGATTTAGAGGTGAGCTCTAACTACTCGTTTATGTCACTGGCAGAGTTCCCTTTATTCCGATGGCTTCGGTGTTCTTCAAGATTTTATTTTGGCTATGTTTTGCCAGACATAAGGTTGTATCCTCAGACGACAGCTTTTCTAGTCCTTGCATAGCTGGTTATTTGCAAAGGTCTCTGCATTATATGAAAGGTGGAAGGATGGTCCTGAACCTGATCCTCTCTGCAGGCAGAGCTGCAATGTATGTAACTGGAGAAGGACAGATTGTGATGTTCACGTGTCCTTAGATGAGAATGTGGAGTATCTTGGGTAAATGAGAAGACAGGCCCATGCAAATGTAATGCAGGGTGCTGTGGAACAGCAGCGGGAGGGCTCAGCTGAAACACAGCTTGCTTTTGCTGGGGATGCTTCCCCCAAACACTTGGAGCAATATAGTCCTTTCAGAAGTGGTTCTGTTGCTTTTAAGGAAGGTTGTTTTAAGGGCATGTTTTACTTTATATGGCAAAAATTCTGGTTTTGGTTGCTACCTCAGCACTCCCTGCTTCCTGCCTATGGCACCAAGTTTTCTTAAAAATAAAGCTAAACTGTATACATTTAATAAAGGGTGTCCCTCTTGAAGTTCAGTGGCTTGCAGAGGATCAAAGGAGATCACCACATAGTCCCTTTCAGTCATTAAAGTGTCTGTTCTAGGATCCAAAGAGACCACATGGTAGAGAAGTAGAGATATTCAGGCTAAAAACAAAAACTGTGAAGTTACACAATAAAATCTTTTGTGCCAACATAGACTTCTCCATCAAGACCTCTGGGGAGCAATGACTGGAGATACTTTTATGCAATTTACTTGTTATCTGCTTCATCAGGCAAACCACCAGCACAGATGTCTCATGATGCTCTTGGTTTCAAACAGTGATGCAAAGTGTGGTGTGTTCAGAGCTTTGTTGTTGACTTCGTTGAGACAACGTTTGGATTTACAGTCAGAAGGGTGGAAGATGGGGCCATGAGAGGAGCACGAGGTGGGATTGCAGCCCCCGAATGCCCACAGGAATTAAGCAACGGGGGAAATTTTTATTATCCAGTGACTGAACATTACTCAGTCCCCTTTTATAATATAACAAGCCAAATAGTCGAGCAGTTGGAGTATTTGACAGATGTGACACTGAATCTATGTTCCTGGTTCATACTGGATTCTCCGCTAAGAATGGATGATTAAAGGCAGGTCAAAAGTCAGACATTCTCTGTAGCTGAGATGTAGACTTGTTGGGGAACCTGGCAGAGGATGATTGCTACATATGGCTTATAATTTTTTAAATTTTCCTATTTTGTTACAAATTTATATTTTTTACTGCTACTAGAAGATGGTGGATTTCTTGTACTTCCCATGGAATTTAATTTTGTTTCTGCTGAAGTGAAAAGAACAGAGTTCTAGACCCATCAGGGGAATAGAAAACATTTTTCTTCAGTACCTGGATTCATTGTAAGTGGGATCCTTGGTTTTGTGCATCTAGTACTTTGCAAATAAATAGGATAAGCCTTTGTTCTTAAACTATAATTTTTTTTTCCATTTGGCGTAAGTATGTGCCTTCTCATGCATTTGTACACACCCAGCGAGTGCCTGCAGAGACACAACTCCTACACCTGGAGCAGCTGTAAGTGCTTTCCTAACTAGGGAATGCTGCATAACAAGGCAGAAGACTTCAACAATTCTCCAGTCTCCCTTCTTTTTTTTTTTTTTTTTTTTATTATTACTCATGTGGGTATCGTGGTGCTTGATGATGTCACACAGAATAAATCCTTTGAGTGGGCTTTAACTGATACATATAAGCTTTTGGAATGGTATATTTTTCTTTAATGGCAAGAGCACAATTATATTGGTGTTTTCATGATTCTGTTTCAGATGAGAAGAAGCAGATGGTTGCAAATGTTGAGAAACAGCTTGAAGAAGCAAGGGAACTGGTACGTTTTGGCTTTGCATAATTTAACTGCAAATTCTATGGGAAAACAATAGGATCATTAGTGGTCACATTTAATACACACGATGCCCTAAAAATACTTAATAATAATATATTAGAAAATGAAATAATATTTTTGAAACAGTTCTTATTTGAGGATAGGGAATACCCAAAAGGAGTGTATGCTTTGTTAATCTTGTGTTAAGTGATTTGATGTTTGCATTATTGCTGTAAACTGTTACAGGCTGCTACGGGCTTTCAGTTGTGGATTAGGTCTTTTACTTTAGGAGTTGAATTAAATGTTTACACACCTGGACTGCTTGTTTTTTTTCTTAGAGGACCCATGCATCTACTTGATCTAATCTATCTGATTTTCTGTAGAGCAGTAGATCTCTTTTTGCTCTTTCAGGAAGTGAGGCATAAAGATATTTAGTTGTGTGAGGTCAGGGGGGCAATGGAAGTGTGGGTTACTGATCTGAGAAGAGTATAGATGTTAACTGAGTTACTGATCTGCACTGACAGGAGAAAGCAATATACGTTAAGCAACTGTGACTTTTTTTGGTTTAATTTGTTCCTATTGGAGCTTGTCATGTCCTCCATCTGGATGGATTGTAAAGGAAAGTTTTGTAGATGTGGGCTAACTCAGCAAAGGTGCCAGTGACAGTTGAGATTGACTTTTCCCTGCATGGGCAATAGTTACTTGTCTGAAGTTGCTTTTGTTTATTGCTTGCAAGTGAGTTTGGTCTATTGAGTGTCTGAAATGTAATCTGACTGCTAGGGTAGGGAAAGGAAATCAGTTCTTATAATTGAGCCTAAAAATTCTTATAATTGAGCAACTTGAATTAATTATTTGGTTGCTAACTAAACAGTAATATTGAAATTCACTTTTTAAAGTGGCGTAGGAAGAAAAAGATCTTTAGAGTGTTTGTTGACATCTACGGTCTTTGGGTTTAAGAATTTAATTAGTTTTGTAGACCAGAGCATTGGAATAGCATCTGGGAAAGGTGGATCTTGGGATGACTCTACTGCAGGTTTACTCTGAGGATGGCAAGGTGCCTACCCTCTCTGATTTGGTATTCTCAATGAGGAACATGGTAAAATTACTGTGTCATCTCATGAGGATGTTCTGAAGATATATTAAGGCCTTCTGGGCACTTTTATATTCAAGCAGCTGAAAGAAAGTAAAAATCTAGTAAAGTTTTTCATTCCTTGTCACTACAACTTGACATGGCAAAATAGCATAGAGTTCAGGGGAATTATAGCATTGGTGGTCTGCTAAAAAATAAGTCAAATTTGGTTTTCTACCCAAAGTAAGATTGGAAGGAGCACACATGGAGTTAATAGCTCATTACTTTTCTTCTCATGTCAGAAAAAGATCATCTAAATTTGTATTTATTATAAGATTAAAAAGTAAATCCTGTATCTGCACTTTTATCCTAATGATGATCTTCATTTAATGTACTGGCTTTTCTTTCACGCTTTTGTTTTAGATCTTGTTGCTAATGCTGTTAGACAGGTGCTTAATTCAATTATTGGCTTTAAGCAATTACCTAACATGTTTGTGATTAATGTCAAGGCTGGGGTTTAAAAATCAATTTGAACAAACCTGCTAATAACAGAACTGATTAAAAAGATCCTCTTTTAAAATAAAGGCTACAGTAGAAAATCAAAATAAACCTAATTCCTTGCTACTGATAATTTTCATACATTGGTTTTCTTCATTGTCTTGAGTAGTCAAAGCTGGGTTTAGCCGATTTTGGTTTATTTCCTACTTGGCTAGGAAATAACACTCTCCTGTATTATAAATATTATTGTAGAGATAATCTATTTACAGTGACTAACCATTGATTGTTTTAAAACACTGTCTGCTTTGTTTGGGTAAAATCACTGGTGTAATTGATTTGATCTACGTGCAGAACTGACACCAAAACTTTTCTGACTCCCGGGCTGCTTTTTCAAACCAGAGCTGTTGAATAAAAAATCTCTGGAGAAGGAAACCCCGTTGTTCTACATCCCGTGCGGATTATCTGAATGTTATTTTTGACATATTTTTAAGAAAGATGAATGTTTTGATAACCTTAGGGAAATTCTTTGAGCATAAAATCTAGCATGTGCTAGAAGAGCTGGACTTAGCATTTTGGAGTGAAGTTCTACTTTTAAGAAGAAAAATACTGTTTGAGTGTTATTTACCTTTATGTTTTATGAGGGACCCATCACAAAACTGTTGCTAATGCTAAGTTATTCTTATCTAGGCACTTGTTTTTTTACCATAGATCTTTATTTTAGTTCCAAGACTTCAGAATCAGAATAAAATAGCAAAGTTTACAAGTTTCATAAAATGCTAGCAACTCTTCAGAGCGATTTCATGTGGAAAAGTTCCTGTGGGAGGGGGACACTTACTTTGGGTTCTCAATAAACAACATTGGCAGGACTTCCTTACTTTGTTGTATTTTTTTTGAATGGAAATACCAGTGGCTGCTCTGTTTTATTCTGTATCCGGTGCTGGGAGTGTATTGAGCGTTGTCAAGAGCAAACCTACTGGATTAAACACCTGAGAAGCCTTAAGGATGGGGCCTGGTTTATGAATTTGGGCAAGAGTTAGGTGCCAAAATGCTCAACTTCACTGCAGTGGTGGCAAGTTTGAACATAAACAATAACAGGAGATTGAGCAGAAATTGAGCTTTTAGGTTTTCTGAAGAAAACTTGAGCTTCTACAGATGTTTCGAGATTTAAGTGCCAGCTTGTTTTTAGTTTTTAGTAGAATTTAGCTCTTGTCTTACTTGTGTATGAAAAATACGATTTTATGACCAGTAATATGAGGCTTGAAAGTGAAGATGCATGAAATTAGGTTGCATTTAGGTTCACTCCTGCTTGAACCACTATCTTCTGCATGACTTCGCATGGAAATTTATCAGCCTGCCACAAAATCTCATGATGAAAAAAAAAAGAGGTGTTAAATGTTAGTGTAAATATGCATGCCTCATCATTGCTCCTTGGACCTTATACTCTCTATTAGAATGAACATTTTGGATTTCATCAACTGTGGTCTGATCTTTGCTGCAAATTCAGTATTCACTGGGACGTGGTTTCGTTTCTATATAATAGATAAGAATTAAGACTTCATTAAAATATCCTGACCTTGCACATATAATTTTATATACGTATGAGAAGTGTTTTCTATGTTTATAGGACATTTGAGATAAAATATATTGAGATGAAATTGATAAGAAATAAGCCATTAACTCCAGCCATCAGTTTAATTTATAATACCCCTTTGGAAAGCTAAGCCTGAGCCAAAGAACTACGTAGAATTAGAAATTGCTTTGTATGTTTCAATTCGTTACTGACTATTTAATTAAAGTCTGCTTTACAGTTCGTTATTGAATATCATTTTATATAATCAGAATAGATCAGGCTGAATGACTTCTGAGTATCTGGTAATTCCATTGATTAAATTCAGATGCTTTTCTTATGATATGAGGATGAAATTTCAAAGTATAAGCGAGCGATTACATAGGAATTAACTGTAGCTGTCCCTTGTGAAGACCTATAACCGGTAGCTTGGGACCCTAATTGAAAGGCATTTCTGTTCCAATGACATATTCCTCAACTGAGATCAGTAGGAGGTGAGTAAATATTGTTTCAGGTGCCTACAGCAACCAAGGAGAGGTACTCTTTTATCTTTTTAAAACTAGTTGGAAAGATTTTAAAAGGCAGGTAAGGGATTCTTCAGCTGCGCAAAATAGAATTCCTGAGCAGACAGCACCATGTAGAGGAGGCTCTGTGACCCAGTGGGCAGGTAATTAGCAGGCAGCTCAGTCCTGGTTTATAACTTCTTTTCATTTTCTGTACCTTTGTGCCATATTCTTGTGTTTTAGGCCCGTTAGTATTCTACATTAGTATTAAGCAAGTCTTAAAGGTGCAGGAGCGGACTGTCCCATGTGCTGAAAAACGAGCCATTGGGGAAAGAGATGGCCTGGCTGAACAGAGACAAATGGTTGCAACTCAGGGGGGAAAAAAGGAGAGTTTATGGCTTTTGTAAGAAGGGCAGGAAATTCAGGGAGACTACAAAGATGTTGTGAGGCTATGCAAGAAGAAAATTAGAAGGGCCAAAGCCCAACTAGAACCTCACCTGGCTTTGGATGTTAAGAACAATAATAAAAAAAAAAGTTTCTATAAATACACTAATAATGAAAGGAGGCTGAGGGGGAGACCTTGTCGCTCTCTACAACTACCTGAAAAGAGGTTGTAGAGAGGGGGGGGTCAGTCTCTTCTCCCAAGTAACAGACAGTAGGACAAGAGGAGATAGCCTCAAGTTACGCCGGGGGAGTTTTAGATTGGGTATTAGGAAAAATGTCTACATTGAAACATTGGAACAGGCTGCCCAGGGAAGTGGTGGAATTGTCATCCCTGGAGGTATTTATCAGTTAGGTTGATGGTTGGACTCGATGATCTAAAAAGTCCCTTCCAACCTAGACAATTCTATGATTCTATATGCCAAGGGTAAATAGAAAAAGCTTTTGAAAAATATGTTCTCTGATGTTTTCATGCATTCAACTGTATATAAGTTCTTGAATAGTATTAAAGCGTGAAATTCAGCTATTTAATATACCTACACAGAGATTTGGGTTGTAGATTCAGGCAGTCAGTTCGGGCTTTGTAATTCTGCTGAGTACGCAGTATTTAAAAGAATAAGAATTCTTTTATTAAACATAGAGGCTGGTGGTAAATAAAACTTTAAACATGTATATATATGCACACAAAGGTATACACACACATATATATATGTGTGTGTTTGTGCATAAAAATAAATTAAAAAATTTTTTTAAGCTAAGGGTTTCCAAAACTACACAGCTAGATGGAGGTAGGCTTTCTTCTGAACTTTGCTTATTTGCAGGAAGTTATTTAACCTCAGTTTTACTATTTTCTTGTAATAACATATATTTATCACATTTGGAATTGAAATCCAGAAATGTTTGACCAGAATAATTCCTTTATCACTTGTTTGTTGACTTAAGGCTGTGTAAAAGATTTTGATGAATTGTTTATATATTGCAGAATAAACAACATTTTTCTCTATAAAGAAGGAATATTTCTTAGTATTTGTGAAAAATTTAGGTAAACTCACTCTTGCTTTAATTACTCTTTTGATTTACATGGTTTTTTCTTTATTTTTACTTGATAGCTTGAGCAGATGGAACTTGAAGTTCGAGAAATCCCACCTCAAAGCCGAGGAATGTACAGCAGTCGAATGAGAAGCTACAAACAAGAAATGGGAAAACTTGAAGCTGATTTTGTGAGTTTTTAATATATTACATAAATGAGAATTTTTTAAATATAATAATGCAGTTATTCAGGCAACTGAGAGGGTATTTTTCACTAGTGTGAGAAGTGAGTGTTTCTAGCTGTATTTATGCACAGATGAAAAACAAACTGGGGAAGAGAAGTTTTTTGGGTTTTTTGTAGCAGCCTCCTACCAGTATTCACATTGAGTCATAGAATGGTTTGGGTTGGAAGGGACCCTAAAGATCATTTCCTTCCAACCCCCCCTGCCCTGGGCAGGGACACCTCCCACCAGACCAGGTTGCCCAAAGCCCCATCCAGCCTGGCCTTGAACCCCTCCAGGGATGGGGCAGCCACAGCTTCTCTGGGCAACCTGTTCCAGGGTCTCACCACCCTCACACATTGCTAGCCTTCTGTCCCTTTCCTCTGGATCTGAATTGTTTCTGTGCCATTAAACATTGTGAGTGTTCATGCTGTGGGCAAAATAGTCAGCTTTTAATCCTTATTTCTCAAGGAATGACTGGTTAGAACATCGGAATTGATACTTAAATTGTAGCGTAAGTATACGGAGTGGAAAATAATGGTTTGTTCAAGGCAGCTTGCAGTAATGTGAAAAATAATGTAATCTCCAATACATGGAATTTGTACATGTAGTTTATCTCATGTGCACTTTATTTCTTAGTCTGTGTGATTTCTTTTCTATAGCACTTAGGTTCTTCTTGGCTTTGGTACAAATCGGTTATAAATGCTACATTTTTCAAGTAATGGATGCAAACTGACAAGATTCCCTTGTCTGAGGGCTTCTGCTACATTTATCAGTCCCTTTTTTTGTGACTAGGATTTGCACTGAATAGATTTACATAGAGACAAAATTGTTTCCTCTAAAATCCTCGAAAAGTTCAAAGGGATTGCAAAGTGTAGGAAAATGCTATGTTAATTGGCAGCAGCTCAGTCCCTCCAGGGTAGGGAGAAAGAAATAACTGGTGGCAGTATTTTCCATTCACTGGAGAACTGTTGAATCGCACAGATTGCTGGCAGCAGTTTGTTCCTTCAGGGGAGGGGAGTCAAAGTTTGTACCTGCAGCCAGGAAATCCAGCCGACTGTCACTCCTCTGTGCTTCTGCCAAGTTGAGCAGTCGTGCAAAAATGTATTAGTTAGAAGATGGTTGCATAAAGTTGGAGGCATGTTGTTGGGATAAAAAGACTTGCATCAAAATTTTGAGACAATATCTCTAGCTGTTCCTCTGTGGGGAGTGTGTATGGCCCTACTGGACCAGCAGTGAATGCTATTTGTCTTCTCAGATGTGGGACAGTTTGCTGTCAGTATATATTTGTTGCTGGCCCATTTCTCTGTGTAGGCAGAAGGGAGGAATTGGTGCTCCCGCATTCCCAGGCAATAGGGAATGGGAAAGTTCAGAACTGGATACTCTTTATGGAAGAGGAGAAATGAGTGTATGTGGAAGAAATGTGTCAGAGCACCAGAAGTTAACACTAGTGGAAGGATGTAAGTTTGTGCTCGAATCGAAGGAGCAAAAACAACATGAGAAAAAGGAAGGAACAGATCCTGATAATGGGAAAAAACCAGCAGTCCAAAACCCAAGGATGGCCTTCAGGAGAAGGAAGAGGAGTGAAGGATGGAGCAGCGTACTGAAAGAAAACAGTAATTGTGCTTGGAAAAACCTCAGTTTTATGGCAAATAGTGTTGTTACAACTAAATTCCCTACATAATTCTAGTTTCTAAGTGCTAACATCTTCCTAGGTTTGTATGTGAGGGTTTGAGAATCTTTTTGGATTGTTCTCCAGTCAAAGAGCAACTTGTTGGAAACTATGTAACAAAATGATTCAATTGTGAGTTCAAAGGGGGAAGAGGAGGAAGGAAAGGAAGTGTTATTTTGGTTCTATAAGCTGCGGGGCTGCTGAAGGTAGGAAGTTGAAAATATTTGCTGAAATGGAAGTGCTTTTGTGTGTTCTGCCTGAATATTGTCCTCAATGAGTTGTGCACTGTTTGGCTGTAAGCAAAGCATATAGAGTTTATGTAAGAGCTTTAGTAGACCAAAATGAATTCACTTCTGTAGATGAAGGGAAATTCTTAACTGGAAATGATACCTGCAGTTTCGGGTTATGATCAGCTTACAGGTTTGCTGGTTAAAGTTCTCGGCTCTTCTGAAAGGCATGCAGGTGTGAGCTTGCAAAGTTAAATGTTGTTCTTCATAAATGGAGTTGGAATCTCAGCTGGATCACACAATATTTGGTTTGACCTTTCTTCCTATGTGGAGTGGTGTGTGCACCAAGCAGAGGACATTTCTCAATCATTTTCAAGTGTGTTTCATTTTAAAGAAATGATGCCTGTGAAATGAATTGCCAAATTTATGTACCTGAGTGTATACAGTCTTTTTCAGTAAGTTCTGTATATTTCAAACATGAAGTGATGCAGAACTGGCACCGCTAGTTTTCTTTTATATTCATCATAATGAGCATGAGTTTTGATCTTGTGGTTATTTGGATGCCTTATAGCATCATGAAAATTTGCCCTCACCCAAGCAGTTATGGAAAACAGCAGGACAGCAACTTATTTAGAAGTTAGGAGAAGGAAATGTGACCTATGTGGACTGTCCACTCTTTACTTACGGGATGACCAACATTGTTTATTTGTGACGTAATATGTAATTGGTGAGTTTATTTGACCTTGGGCAGTAAGTGTAATAATGACAAAACACTGGGCTATCACTTTAATATTAATTTACTACATATTGTGGCATCTTAATGAATATATCAAGTGGTTTTTCTACGGACTTTAAGATGTCAGAAACATATTCTGCAAAATACAGATTTAAGCTTGGTTGAGCTATACTTAGAAAAGCTACTCCAAAGATGGCTTGTTCGTTTCTAACTTTCTAATCTAATAGGAACAAGTTGCAAACAGGAGATCTATTTCCCCTCGTTGCTGATGCTTGTTCTCTTGAGTCACACCTGCAGTCAGTCAGTAATCAGTGCTCCACAGCCCAAAGGTGTGTCTGGAGACAATGACATCTGCATTGCACATGTGTAGTTGGTAACCCACTAATTGCATTGCATCATATTTGAGGAGAAAAAGCCTCCTTGCTCCATCTTGGCTCTCCCTTTTGGAGAGGAACAGTGGTAATGGAAAAAAAAGAATAGCTCAACTTTGCTGTTAAAAGTACTTCGCATAGCACTGTGAGTATAATGGGGAAAAAAATAGCAAAGCAAACACAACTTAAGGCAGAAGTGGTTTGTGATGCTGGCCTCAGAGCTGTGCAGGCTTCCACGAGGAGCAGATGTCTGGGGAGGAAAAATAAGAAGCATAAAGTGGTGGTACTTTGTAAAAGAAGCTCAAAGCTCGAAAAGCTAAGTTTGAGGCTTGCTTACCGTGTGTGATAAACATATCAAACCAGAACAAAACTGTTAAACCTTATGCTTTTTTAACTTGTAGGTGTAAACCTTGATTTTCTTATCTTATTTGCGATAGCATATGTAAGTATTGCATTTTTATAGCTGAACGTCATTCCCGATAGGAATGCTGTAGTCCCAACCCTGCGGTGGCTCTGGGGCTGCTGCAGAGACCGGGGTGATGGCTCCATCTTGTGGCCCGAAGTGGAGTTGCAGACACTTATTTGTGCTTTCTGGGCTGACGAAGGTCTTGGGACAACCTACTGAAGAGTTACTGAAATTTAAAACAATATTCCTAGGAGCACATCTTTTTTCCAATTGTGGCTTAAGCTTGTAAATATTTTGTTTTCAACTATTTCATATGTAGAATGTCTACGGTGACAGCCTGCAAGAAGTAAGTTCTGAATGCAAAAAAGCTTTAGATTTTATTGTAGTCGTTTAAATACATGGACTATAGGTATTGTTTATTTTTTCAAATAAAGCATTTTTTTGTTAATTGTTATCTGAAAATAGCCAGTGATCTTTAAACAGTGGGGATAGACAATGGTAAAAGGCTTTCCAGGTCTTATAAATATACTTTTACCTGAACTATCCTAGTTCATGTGAAACTGTAACTATATAAACTTAGCAAGTGTGTCTATTTGCTAGCATTCACCAGAAGGATTCCATGTACTGGGCTGGACATCAGGGCACCATAAAAAAGAGGGGGGGGAAAAATGGTGGGTATTTTCCTGAAAAGTTTACAGTTTGAAGTATGAGGCGTTCAAATAGATGGGGAAATATAAAAATCCAGTAAGACTATATTACACAACAGTATTCCTGTTAGGAAAATGAGTACTACACAATCAGTGCTGAAAGGGAAATGGGTATATTCAATGTGAAAAATAGTCATCAAATAAAGGAGGTGGTGTAGGAACTGCTCCTATTCTGTCATGGCAGCACAGAGGCAAATTTTACAGCTCACATTTGTGATCAATCCAAGAGACAGAGCTCATTCCTTTTAAAGACTCAGAGTTGGTACTGATTTTGGTTATTCTGACCTTCAAATTAAAAGAAAAAAAAAAAAGAGGGGGAGAAGTCATAGATTACATAGACACACAGTCCGTACAAAACCTGACTAAACATTTAAACATTTTTGGCATTGAACAATAGCTTTGGTTCAGTCAATAGTGAAGATATATTTTCACATTTCATACCTCCTGCAGGTTCTGTTCTGCCATTGTTAAAATGGCAGCTGGTGTTAAGCTTTAAAAACATTTAAGGAGATAAGCAATGGAATTTCATTTGATAAAGTTAGCTCTTTTGTGTGACTCTGAAGTACCACCTGAGTCCAGGAGCTCACCTGAACAACTGCTACAGCTGTGGTAGTTAAACTCTGGCTGCTTTTGGCAGATACTGCTACCCTTATTTCAGGTTCTGTAACCTGCTGAGACAAACATTCACGTGGATATAAATTTAATCAATGAGAGTTGTCAAATGACAAGTTAGTGACCTGTATCTTTATGGCCAGAGTCTTCCCTGGCTTTCCAGTTTGAGCTAGAAGTTCAGAGACTCAGCTGTTGCTGCAGGATTATTTTGATTTGTAAAGCAAAGCATTATTGCTTTA